CTGGTGGCAGCACAGGGTGGGTGGAGGCGGTACCCATAAGACAAGGTGCTTTCTTGTCCCAGGCCCTCAGAGCAGCCATCGCAGGGCCAGGAAAGGGAGGCCTCGGGCCTGGCCCTTCCAGCGCCAGTTCCCACAGCTCCGCAGGCTCCCGGGTGTGCTCACCACACCCCCTAGTGGTGGGAAGAAATGTGGGGCTCTGGTCCTCTCAGACTGGAGGGTGGAGGAAGCAGCCTGGGTAACCTCAGAACACCCGAGAGCCTAGGTGAGCGCCCCTCACCTGCGGGTTTTTCTAGGTGTGTGTTTGTGATGATGGCTTATAGAGGTGCCTGCCCATCCTAAGAAGGGAGGCTTTCCTTAGGCTTTGTTCAACGCAGAGTCATGGAAATATAGGGCCAGAGGAGCCATCGGAGCCCAATGGTCATCCCCCTTCTTACAGAGGGGAAGACGGAGGCCAAAGGAGTGATATGCGTGTTTGGGGGCCGGGGGCTAGTGAACAGGGATGGAACCCAAGTCTCCAGACCCCCAGTTCTTGGTTTGCTTTACTGTTTCACCATCTCCCACCCCTCAACGGGAAGCAAGCTGCCCCCACTGGGCCTCAAGGTTTCTTCTTGAACCAGAACATGTTGCCTTAAGTGGAGAGAGCCTAGCCTGGCAGTGCCACCCAAGGTAACAGGATGCCCAGGGAGCCGTTTAGCACAGTAGATGCTCTGAAATATTTAGAGCTGGAAACCACAGGCTAGCTCCTGATACAGGCCTGTCCTCCCAGGTGGAGGGTATTGATGAGGTGAAGACCTCCGAGCACAACATTCGGACACCCTTCTCCTCCCTCTCCCCTCCCTGAGGGCCCCCCCAGGGCCTTACAAAATGTTCTCATGCCTGAATTCTGGGGGAATTTGAGGGCTTTCTGAGCTGCCTAAGTAAAAGGGAGAGTAAAGGGTGCTATGCGGTGTGCGTGTGTGCATGCGTGTGTGCATGTGTGTGTGCACGCATGTGTGTGCCTTGTGTGCATGTGTGCATGTGTGTTTGTTCTTTTTCAGGAAGAGGAGATAAGGTGAGTTCTAGCTGCCCTAAGTCTCAGAAGTACCGGGCATGCTTTGACTGTAAGTGCACATGCGAAAGCACCGGAAATCCAGGCATTCATTCAAATAATACTGCTAAATGTCAGCTGTGCACAATAACTGTTCGGGAGCTTTGGGAGGACAGATGAAGGGAGGCAAGGTCTTCTCTACAAGGGGCACTGTTAGTGGTGGAGGTGACAGTCCAGGGGGATAGAGGAAAGGGAAGTGAGGTTCCGGGGCGAGATGGCCTTTCCTGCGCTGAAGACCGTGACTGCAGGTGATTCCCCTTGGCCTCTGCTGCTTATATCTCACGCCTGGCCTTACTTCAGAAGCTGTGCCACCAGGATGTTCTTGCAATAGAAGCATCACACATACTAGGCACTGAGACCCGCATTCCCAAAGAGGCTCAGAGGGGGAAGGGGAGCCTGTCTCTTCAGGGTGGGGACAGTGTCTGTCTGTATGTCTGGGTCTTTGTCTGGGGGGTGGTAAACATTCCAGGGAGGCAAGAGCAGAGTGAAAGGGTTCCAGAGGGGAAGAAAGAAGATACAGGCTCCTGGAGACATCAGAAAGAACATCCAGAATGAAGGCTTTAGAGAGATTCAAATGGGTGTGGAGTCTCTCTCTTTTGGACTCTGAGGGAATAAAGGAAGTACGGATATTTCAGGGGTGTGTTAAGCTCAGCCTTTCCTGGAACTCTGGTAGATGAGGTAACTTTTGATGGGCCTAAGGGTCCCAAAGGCAGATCCCTTCTGGGGACACCAATCCCAGAAAGTGAACCTCCGTGGGGATGCAGTGCCTGTAGCTTCCAGCAGAGGGAGTCTGGGGGCAGACTCTACGGTGGGAGCCCAACAGGAGGTTTTAGGGGCAACTAGCCCCCTTAGACCTCGGGTCTGGGTCATTCTGTAACCTCATTCCAGGGTGAAAAAGTCCCAGTGAAGGCAAAGCGAAGGAAGTGCAAGGAGGAGGATTTGGGCTAAAGAGAGAAGGCTTTAATCTGCATTCTTTTGTTAACTGCCCAATGAATGGGAGGTCAGGTCACTTCAGTCCCTAGAAATATTTGCAACAGCAGGAGGGCTGCCCTGCCTGGGGGTAAGGGGGGTGGTTAAGAGGGGTCTGCACCCACAAAAACCACTGTGAGCCTGGGAGGAGATTTTCCAGTCCGGAGCCTGTAGGCTGTGGAGCAGGAGCCAGACCTGCCTCAGAGGACACAGGACAAATTTTCCGAGAATGCAGATGGCCTTTGCCCCCCCCTTCTCGGAGGTCACCACAGGCCACTAGACCACTGCCCCATTGCCCTCTGGGGGCTTCTCTTGCCAGAGAACAGAAGGCCTTTTCATCAGGGGCTTAAGTTTCCCTCCCTGCTCACTCAGGCAGAGCCCTGGTAACCCGAGCCGAGGGAGACAGGGGGCCGCCGTGCCACCTTCTCTTCTCCAGAAGCTCCCGCCACACAGGCACTGCGGGTCCTTGGGAAAGCCCAGCACCTGGGCCTGGGGCTGGAGGGGCTGTGCGGAGCCATCCCGAGGGCAATGTGGGGATCTGACTTCTCTTTCCTGAGCCCCCGCACATGGGGTGTGGGGAGCTCCTTGGGCAAGCTCTCTCTGGGTGCCTGGCCCTCTGGGGAAACTCACCCTTTCTGCACTTTGGGAGAGGGGAGGGGAGCAGCAGGCCTGAGTTGCAGAAGTCCAGCCAGGGCTTCTGAGCATTTGTCAGGGGCTGGGAGAGGCTGCATTGCCCTGTCCAGAGGCCCCAGTGCTGTTACCAGACACCAGGGCACTTGAGGGAGCACGGCCAAGACTGCAAATAGAGGACACACCAGGAACGATTTACCACAAGGAAATTTCCCATCGAGGAGAGGCTCACGTGGGAAGATTGCTTTTAATGCTGAAGACCTTTATTATATGACAGCTAGGAGGGGGAAAAACCCTAATGCAACACTCACCCCCGCATGATATCCAAGAAGGAATAATTTGTGTCACTGATATTATTATCAAAAGGAGCTACAAATGCAATTTTCCAGAGCTCAGGAACCAGTGAGGCAGTGTGCATGGGCTGGGGTGGGTGAGGGACAGGGAAGGACACCCCTTCAGGAGGTAGAAATGGGCAGCCCTCTAGCTCCCCCAGCTCTGCCGGTGAGGCCCTTAGTCTGGAGGCCAAACTCCAGCATGTTGACAAACAAGCTTAGAAATAAAAAGACGAAGCTCGTTAGGAGGGAGCTCATTAGGACTTGTTGACATGAAACCCATTACACCAATTAACATTCCATTAACGGCCTGGGGCACCAAGGGGTTAATGCTGACCCCAGTAATTGGCTGGAGTGCTGGGGTTGGGGGCTCAGGGCCTTAAGGATGAGAAACAGTATAATTGGGAACTCTCTGGCCAGCTGGCCCCCAGCATCTTCTCTTGCTCCGGACCCTAGCTGAGACTACACTGCATCCTGACCGAAGTGGAGCAGGAAGGAAGGGACCAGTCCCCTTTGGATCTCCAGTGTCCCACCCCATTGCCCCAGACTGGCAACTGGGCGCAAGGACAAGGTGGGGGCATATTGCCACCCTCTTTACTCTGATAGTCATGCTTTCTTCATCCACCCCCCACCCCTTCCCCTTCTGGTTCAGTTTCTTATTCCCAAGGAACGACGTCCCCTCTCCTCTCTTGGTTAGATGTGACCCATTCTTACCAAAACTCTGGAAAAACTAGCATCCTTGAGGGCCCAGAGTCTAATTTATCTGAAGAGTGTTGTAGTTTAGGGTAGAGGGATGGGGGGGAGCACTTGTCCCGGGCCAGGCTGCCTTCCCTCCCTCCCTCCCTCCTTTCCTTCCTTCCCTCCCCAGCATGGCAGCTAAGAGGCACTGCCCAGGACCCCTTAGGAGCCC